TTTGATTTGAAATTATCATAAAGTATATATGTTGTTTTTTTTTCTCTCTTTTTTTTCATATACAAAACTCTATGCTTTATTTTTCAAAAATTTGATGAGATTTTTTAAAATCCAATCGAAAATATTGAATTTGAAGTTTGTTCAATTCTTTTTCAGTACATTCATTTCTTCAAATATTTAATGCCACAGAGAAATGAATATGTAAACCCAATCACATTGTACAACTACTATTGCTCAAATAGTAACTAAAGAGAAAAGTAAACAGTGATAAAAATGTTGAATGTTATTAACCACTATCATTTCTGTTATTTATTCCTATTGCTTTTTCTTTTTTCTTTTTTTCAAGTATTTCTCAAATTAATTTTATTCAAAAATATAAATGAAAAATGCATTACTACTGTGTTAAATTTTCTTTAAATTAAAAATATAGAAATTAAATTTATTTAAAATTTATTAAAAAAAAAAGATGGTAATATTTTGGATTAACCCTTAAATTTTGTGATACTTCATCATCATCCTTGTCCATATAAGTATTGATAAGAAACTGTGACACCTGAGTACCCGATTTAGATGATTCCGCGAAATGTACAAGCTCTTTGTTGAGCATTTTACGAAACTGAAAAAGAAAAAAAAAAGGAAGAAAAAATGAACAATTAAATGTGATAATTTTAAAGATTATCAATTTTTCTTTTTATCTTTTTTTCGTCTTATCAATTCATAATTAAATGATAAGAAATGTATGGCAAAAGGTAAATGAATGAATGAAAAATGATTAAATGGAATAAGGAAGTTACCCATTCTTCATTTTATATCAATTAAAAAGAAATTGGAAAAATGACTGTGATATGAAAATTAAAACAAAAAAAAAAAAGGAAATGGAAGAATTGCAGATAATTGAAATATATGGAAGGAAAATGAACTTGGAGAAAACAACAGATCCCTAATTTTAATGATTAAATTATTATTGAGATTAATTCATTCATTCATTCATTTACGCTTTAACTAAATGAATAAATAATTAAATACCAGTTGACTATTTCAATAAATAAATTACATTTCATATAATTATATCTGTTAGGAATTAAAATAAACTTTAGTAAATATTTTTGTTTCATAGGAATGAATAAAATAAACTTAAAGGAAACAATACATTCTTAATTTTGATGGTGGAATAATTATTGAGAATAATTTATCCATTCATTCATTAATTAATTAATTTTCATTAAATTTGCCAAATCTATTATTAGAATAAAAATTCCGAATGACGATAATTTTAAAGCTTACAACCTACATCGTTTTGCTTAACGATTAGTTAAGGATCATTTTTCTCTGCTTAATGATCAATTAAATAATCCTTTCATAATTCAAATTCGAATTTAACTAACCGACATATAACTTTATCAGTTAATAGATTTAACAATACTTAACATTATCAATAAAATAAAAATGAAAGAAAAAGTAAAAAAAAAAAGGAAAAAAAACTCATAAATATATATCATTGCGAAAAGTAAAATCGTATAAAATATGCGCAAATTATCTGATAAGCTAAAATTGTCGCAATCCATGCCGCATATATGAAAAAATATTTGTTAGAGGGATTGATTTAATACGATTAAGTTGCACATTTTGTAATACCTCGAGGGGAAGCCTTAGGCATTATTTAAATTATCCTTAGAATATATGTCAATTAAAGCATGCTGTCATTTCATTTTGAAAAATTATTTGCAAAGAAAAAGAAATAATTTTAAACAAAAAAAAAAAAAGAAAAAAGGAAAAACGAAAAACAGAAGGAATGGATGAAAAATCAACACTTATAATTATTTGTCACAACTAATTGAAATATGTCAAAATGTCACATATTATTATCCATTTATCATTATTTATGTTTATTCAATTTGATGCAAACTTATCAATATATCGATATTTATGGATATAAATAAAATTTGTACTAGAAATTAATCTTATGAAAATTGTTATATAAATTTTAATAAAATTCATCAAAACATAACTGAAATATGTATTAACGATGTCAATTTGTAAAAAAAAAAAAAAAAAACAAATTTCGTTTAATAAATAATTTTTAAAGTATAAAATAATGAAAAAGAAAAAGAAATAATAATGAGCTGTAATACGAGAAATTTCATTAATAACAATAATTGATAAATATATTACCAATCATTTATCAATGATTATCACATTTATTTGTAATAAATTAATCAGGTAATCATTTATGCAAATTTTTGCTGACAATCTCTAGAAAAATTCGTTTCGCTAAGACAAATAATTAGCAATGAGAAGATGAATGTGCTTCCTTTTTCTGTCATTTTGAAATTTTAAAATCAATGAATCATTCTTGCCATTTCATAGTTAAGTGTGATCAAAATACAAAAACAAACAATCAATAGTTCAGGATTGG